GATTATTTAGAGGTTTGTATTGCTTATACTTAGGGGTGTGCAAATATATCAAAATATTGATATATCGTATCATTTAATGTGATGATACAGTATCGATATCGTGGGCTCCTCTACAGATATATCACCAAGAGTATTTTTTGGTATATTTTACTAATTATTTTGTTACAGTGCTAGAGTTTTGTTGCTTGTTCAGAGGAAGGAAAGTCATTTTACATTTTCACTCTTTTAAATGATTAAAATGGGTGTTTTTCATATTCACTTTGCACAAGAAGTGGTTTAACAAAGACTTTTAATATCACAGCCATGATTTAGTCTTTATTTTTTATTGAACTGTATCGAACAGATTTGAAACATATTGTGCCAAAGATGTTCATTTTTGTCTTCTTATACTTTAACTTTAACTTCTTTTTAAAGACAATGCAGTAAAGTGTGTTTACCTTGTTGACATGTTTCGGCTGCTGGCTGCGAGCCATCTTCAGCACAAAAAGATAAAGCACAACAGGAAAACCTAAAATCCACCATATCAGACTCTGTAAAAGGAACAACCACATTATGGATCTGGACGGGGCTCGGGTCATTGGATCAGAAAACAACAAGTTCAAAACGCTGGATCAAGGAGGACGATGAAATCAGGAAACGAGGCACGGACAGTATGAACCGTGATGACGGAGCGTTCCTCCTTTCACACACCTGGGACACCCTCCTCCAGAGACTCTCCCCGGGCGACGGGAGGCGTGGTCAGTCTGAGCCACCTGCAGGTCCATCAGGTCTGACCACGCCCACAGGAAGTAACAACAGCTGATATACGACACGTCACCACCAACACCGAGGACACTTCTGAAGATATTGCTTGCAGCTGAAACATGTCAACAAGGTAAACACACTTTACTGCATTGTCTTTAAAAAGAACCCAAGAAGTTAATAAAACATATCGTATCGAATCGAAAGTGTACTGTATCGAGATATGTATTGTATTGGCAACTTCTTAATGATACCCAGCCCTATTTATAATTCAAGTCACAGATCTGACATGAAACCCGGCCTTATGGTATTATCTGCTTGTTTATGCTGATAGATGATAAGTTTAAAGCCACACTCTGGAACATTGTAGGGAAAGAAAGGACACAGAGTTACCAGGAGTGGGGTTTGAACCACGAGGACTTCTGTCCACTGGATCTTAAGTCCACACACCTTCACCACTCGGACCATCCTGGTGCTGAATTTGAAAAATGTTATAATGCACCTTCAGTAAATTATTAATGTTTAATCCACATTTATTTTTATCAACATTTTTATCTACATTTATTAATCTACATTTTAAGTACAGTAAGAGAATAGAAACAGGTACTCAAAAATCAAGATATCTGACTATTATTATGTACAGTGCAGCATCTGAGCAGAATAAACTGAATAATATCGAGCTTTATATTTATGATTTGACTCTGGGTGTTTCTAAAATCTAAGAGGACTTTTTAGTGGTTCGGTTTTACACTGTAGAGGCTCGTAGAACAGTTTGTATGGAGTATTGAAGAGCGTGCCAAGTGTTACTGTGAATAATACACAAGGGACAATAGAGGAGCCTGGCCCAGTGCCACAAGAGCACTCAGATCTGGACCAGGCTGAACCAGGACTGAAGTAGGGATGAACAAGAACTAAACCAGGACTAAAGCAAGACTGAACCAGGGCTGAACTAGGATTAAACCAGGACTGAACCAGGACTGAACTAGGACTGAACTAGGACTAAACCAGGGCTGAATCAGGGCTGAACCAGGGCTGAACAAGAACTAAACTAGGACTAAAGCCAGGCAGAACCAGAACTGAACCAGGACTAAAACAGGACTGAACAAGAAACTAAACCAGGACTGAAGCAGGACTGATCCAGGATTAAACCAGGACTGAACAAGGACCTAACTGAACCAGGACTAAACCAGGACTGAACCAGGGACACATAAGGTCACATCAGGAGGTACAGGAGGGTAAATGTTACCTGGTTCATGCCAGATTGATTTGTGTATCAGTCTGAATTTAATTCCACACTTTATCAATCTGGAACAGCTCTCGCTGAAAGAGAGACGACGACTATTTGAATCTGATCGGTTATAAAAGATCAGCAATTTCGGCAATTTCTGAACCATCTGCAGCTAAAATATTCACCCAATCGTCACACAAGTTGGCACACACATAACCGGGGTACACTGGATGTTACAGGTTTGAAACGGGGCAAGGTCACATGAAGGTCAAGGTAACCAAGGTCAAATATGCGTTTTTGGTCATAACTCGATCGAGCTCGAGCAACGGGAGTGAGTCTCAAAAATCTCAGAAAAATTATTATCTATTTATAATTCAACGCATTTGTATAGTAAAATATTAATAGTTTTCGAGCTAATCACTAATTATAACAGTTCCTTTCTCTTTCAATGTAGCCGTTAAAATTCTAATTGGAACAAAAATTATTTTCATTTCTTCTTTTTCTGGTGATACACAACACACTGATCTACAGTCACACAACTAACATATACACAACTCATGAACAGATTACATTTTGGTTACACACTAGTAAACACAGACATTCTCACACAAATGTTCATGGGCCTGTACAGATACACACATTGCATTGTGGATATAACGATCATGTAATATGGGCTGGGCTCCTCATGAACTGCTTCTGTGACTGATGCCTCATGGGGGACCAGGTTGCTTCTGATTGCGCTTGGTTTAGTTTCATTACTTGATTGAGTCTTTACACTGATATACTGCCATTGCGTTTGTCATCGTGTTTGTTCCCGACTTGGAAGTGGAGCACGCGGCGATGTTTAACTCAAGAGATTATGTGTTTGCGAGTTCGGAAATGCGGCGTTACGACGTGCAGCTAAAACCCCTGACTGTGGCGTCTGGCGCGCGCTGTGGCCTGGTTGTGCGGTGTCTCTAAAGTGGGGTTTATATTAAGCTCCGTGTGGGCAGTTTGGGGACACTTCTGATGAATGAGTTTAGCTCTCGACTTCTTTAACCTCCACACATCTGCACACACTCGCCCCGCATCACTGAATATATTAGTGTCTCTTTAAAGGGACCATGTTACGCTGTTTGCTGGTCTGTGTCATGATGTTGTTTCCTCGTTACAAACAGATCTGGAGTTGTGTTTTGTTTTATTCACACATGTTTAACACACAAATCCTGCATATTTACGCTGAAAACACTCTGTTCCGCCTCGTGATGTCGTGTACAGGAAGTGCTCCGGTTACATGCCGCCACTCCGACACCGACGTCCAGTTGTCGGAGTGGCGGCATTTACATTTTTTAACAAACGTGCCTGCATTTTTTTTTTTTTTTTCCTTGGTCGGAAAGGTTGGAGCACTTCATTATGCCATTCCAAGGTCATTTTTAAGTTACAGCGGCGCGTTTTTCAGGACAATACTGTCATGGACTAATGGCGTAGGAGGTGCAGTGTGGGCGGCATGGTTTAGTCCTGGTTATAGTCCTTTTTTTAGTCATGGTTTAGTCCTGGTTTAGTCCTTTTTTTAGTCATGGTTTAGTCCTGGTTATAGTCCTTTTTTTAGTCATGGTTTAGTCCTGGTTATAGTCCTTTTTTTAGTCATGGTTTAGTCCTGGTTATAGTCCTTTTTTTAGTCATGGTTTAGTCCTGGTTATAGTCCTTTTTTTTAGTCATGGTTTAGTCCTGGTTTAGTCCTGGTTTAGACCTGATTTTAGTCCCGATTTTAGTTCTGGTTTAGTCATGGTTTAGTCCTGGTTTAGTCCTTTTTTTAGTCATGGTTTAGTCCTGGTTATAGTCCTTTTTTTAGTCATGGTTTAGTCCTGGTTATAGTCCTTTTTTTTGTCATGGTTTAGTCCTGGTTTAGTCCTGGTTTAGACCTGATTTTAGTCCCGATTTTAGTTCTGGTTTAGTCATGGTTTAGTCCTGGTTTAGTCCTTTTTTTAGTCATGGTTTAGTCCTGGTTTAGTCCTTTTTTTAGTCATGGTTTAGTCCTGGTTATAGTCCTTTTTTTTGTCATGGTTTAGTCCTGGTTTAGTCCTGGTTTAGACCTGATTTTAGTCCCGATTTTAGTTCTGGTTTAGTCATGGTTTAGTCCTGGTTTAGTCCTGGTTTAGTCATGGTTTAGTCCTGGTTTAGTCCTGGTTTAGACCTGATTTTAGTCCCGATTTTAGTTCTGGTTTAGTCCTGGTTTAGTCCTGGTTTAGTCCTGGTTTTAGTCCTGGTTTGGACCCGATTTTAGACCTGGTTTAGACTTGGTTTTAGTCCTGGTTTGGACTTGGTTTTAGTCCTGGTTTAGACTTGGTTTTAGTCCTTTTTTTAATCATGGTTTAGTCCTGTTTAGTCCTGGTTTAGTCCTGGTTTAGACTTGGTTTTAGTCCTGATTTAGACTTGGTTTTATTCCTGGTTTAGACCTGGCTTTAGTCCTTTTTTTAGTCATGGTTTAGTCCTGTTAAGTCTTGGTTTAGTCCTGGTTTTAGTCCTGGTTTAGATCTGATTTTAGTCCCAATTTTAGTTCTGGTTTAGTCATGGTTTAGTCCTGGTTTATTCCTGGTTTTAGTCCTAGTTTACACTTAGTTTTAGTCCTGGTTTAGCCCTCGTTTTAGTCCTTTTTTTAGTCATTGTTTAGTCCTGCTTAGTCCCTGGTTTAGACCTGGTTTTAGTCCTGATTTTAGTCCTGGTTTAGACCTGATTTTAGTCCTGGTTTAGACCTGGTATAGTTTAGCTTTGGATACGTACACAGACTAATAATAAATAGTTCTGTCTGTTTTTGATTCTAACATGGCTTAAAGTTCCCAAGAGTCAAGTTAGCGTCGTAATTATTCACCACAACGACTTTATTCGTGCTTTTCACAACATTTAGAGGCCATACTGAAGTTTAATAGTAACGATATGAAATGAACAATGAAACGTTTAATAATCAGAACACACTCACTCACTCACGCATATATGAAGCAGCTTTTTTTTTTCTTTATACAAAACTAATTGTGACTAAATGTTTGTGTTTCAGTCTGAACTACAGCGGCATGTGCCTGGCGTCTGATGCCCAGTTCAGTGACTTCCTGGACGGGATGGGACCAGCGCAGTTCGTGGGCCGACAGACGCTGGCCACCACCTCCATGGGTAAGAGTTTAAAGGACACAAAACAAAAGAAAAAAAGAACAGCGAGCAAACGAGTGTGGAACAGCAACACAGTATTTAAAGGGAATAAGACATGTTAGCTCATTTCACCAAAACAATTATTTGTGTTTAGGATTTTTTAGGTTCCATAGCACAAGAAAATAGAGACTTTTAATTTTTTTTAATAATAAGGATTTTGAGCTCAGAAAAAGTTTATGATCTAAAACTAGGTAAAAATCGCCACAAAATCCAACACTTTTGCCTATTAAAAAATCCTTGACAAGACTTAAAGGTTGTATGGAGGATTCTTTTTTTAGTTTCAAATTATCAGTGAAAGTTTAAAATACCATTACAGAGACACAGCAGCCTTGTAATTATGATGATCCAAAAAAAAAAAAAGAATGAAAATCTATCAACTGTGGACGTAGTGAGGCCAGATAAACATCAGCCAATAGGTAACAAGGCTACCTCATTTTCTATTGGCTGTTAGGTTGTCAATCAATCTCCCTACGTTTCTAGTGTGACTGACTCGTCGGCGTGCGGGGATTATGCGGTTTATGCAGCGGTTCTTAGAGGCTTTTTCAAACTGCAGCTTTGTCGCAATTTGCACAAAAAGTTTGTTGCGACGGCGGACGAGAATCCACGACCAGTTCGCCGCGAAAGAAAGTCCGTTTTTGAGGTCGCTGAAAGAAGAAGAGAAGGGGAAAAGGAGCGAAGACAAACTGAGGTGATTCTTGGAGATTCCTTCCAGCGATTGTGCGACTAAAAATTCGCATTTGCTAAATTATTTCTTGACATGTTACTTCAACAGTAATTCTGAACATGCACGGGATGTAAACAAGCGTGATTTCTAGAGTAAAGAGACGGGAGGAGGTGTTTCTACTGAGGCTGTGGAGGAGGAAGGTGGTGTTACGCATGCACAATATTTGAAAAAGGACTGTCGCTGTATTTCTCTTCCCTTAAAAAATCCTCTATACAACCTTTAATAGACCTTTTAGTTGTGGGTAAATTCTTTGTGGACAGAATGTTTATCCTTTGTCGACCTTGTTGGGTGAAGATTTGGTGATGGGGCAGATTTATGAAGCTGGTGGAGAATACGTGAGACATTTCCACAGATATTTTGTCATAGAAAAGCATTAACGTGAGTGACGTTTACTAGGGTTAGACCTGGTTTAGTCCTGGTTTTAGTCCTGGTTTAGACCTGGTTTATTCCTGGTTTAGTCCTGGTTTAGACCTGGTTTTAGTCCTGACTTTAGTCCTGATTTTAGGCCTCAGTTTAGACCTGGTTTAGACCTGGTTTAGTCCTGGTTTAGACCTGGTTTTAGACCTGGATTATTTCTGATTTTAGTCCTGGTTTAGACCTGGTTGAGACCTGGTTTTAGTCCTGATTTTAGTCCTGGTTTAGTCCTGGTTTAGACCTGGTTTAGTCCTGGTTTAGACCTGGTTTAGACCTGGTTTTAGTCCTGATTTTAGTCCTGGTTTAGACCTGGTTTTAGTCCTGATTTTAGAACTGGTTTAGACCTGGTTTAGTCCTGGTTTTAGTCCAGTTTTAGTCCTGGTTTAGACCAGGTTTATTCCTGGTTTAGTCCTGGTTTAGACCTGGTTTTAGTCCTGATTTTAGTCCAGATTTTAGGCCTCAGTTTAGACCTGGTTTAGACCTGGTTTAGTCCTGGTTTAGTCCTGGTTTAGACCTGGTTCAGACCTGGTTTTAGTCCTGATTTTAGTCCTGGTTTAGTCCTGGTTTAGTCCTGGTTTAGACCTGGTTTAGACCTGGTTTTAGTCCTGATTTTAGTCCTGGTTTAGACCTGGTTTTAGTCCTGATTTTAGAACTGGTTTAGACCTGGTTTAGTCCTGGTTTTAGTCCAGTTTTAGTCCTGGTTTTAGACCTGGTTTATTCCTGGTTTAGTCCTGGTTTAGACCTGGTTTTAGTCCTGATTTTAGTCCTGGTTTAGACCTGGTTTTAGTCCTGATTTTAGAACTGGTTTAGACCTGGTTTAGTCCTGGTTTTAGTCCAGTTTTAGTCCTGGTTTTAGACCTGGTTTATTCCTGGTTTAGTCCTGGTTTAGACCTGGTTTTAGTCCTGATTTTAGTCCTGGTTTAGTCCTGGTTTAGACCTGGTTTAGACCTGGTTTAGACCTGGTTTAGTCCTGGTTTAGACCTGGTTTTAGACCTGGATTATTTCTGATTTTAGTCCTGGTTTTAGACCTGGTTGAGACCTGGTTTTTAGTCCTGATTTTAGTCCTGGTTTAGTCCTGGTTTAGACCTGGTTCAGACCCGGTTTTAGTCCTGATTTTAGTCCTGGTTTAGTCCTGGTTTAGACCTGGTTTAGTCCTGGTTTAGACCTGGTTTAGACCTGGTTTTAGTCCTGATTTTAGTCCTGGTTTAGACCTGGTTTTAGTCCTGATTTTAGAACTGGTTTAGACCTGGTTTAGTCCTGGTTTTAGTCCAGTTTTAGTCCTGGTTTAGACCTGGTTTATTCCTGGTTTAGTCCTGGTTTATTCCTGGTTTAGTCCTGGTTTAGAACTGGTTTTAGTCCTGATTTTAGCCCAGATTTTAGGCCTCAGTTTAGACCTGGTTTAGTCCTGGTTTAGACCTGGTTTAGTCCTGGTTTTAGTCCAGTTTTAGTCCTGGTTTAGACCTGGTTTGTTGGTTGAAGATTAGGTGATGGAACATATATTTTTATAGAAAAACATTGAAACCATAGAACTAAGATTAAAAAGTGCTTAATTACTTTGATTTCTTCATGTCATCTGCACAGAGCAAAGGATCATGGTCTATGTAGTTCTGTCTGTATTTTTGTTTTTTCTTGATCTATTTTGGTTATTTCGGTTATTGTTACATCCCCACTGACTTATTCGCCCACATGTGCTCCAGCGTACAGTGAGATCTGTCCTCCACCTCCCGTGTACTGTCCTTTCTGGCCCCGCGTTAAACTGGGTCAGTCCGGTCCCAGTCCGAGCTCGTCCTTGGCCTGGAAACGGCGAAACCAGCTGGACTTGACTCAAGCTCGGCCAATGTTTCGCCGTTACGTAAATACGAGCCAAAATAACTACACAAAACTGCAGATTCTGAGCCGCTTGTTCTTTCGCAGAGAGATCGAAAAGCAAACAAAAACTCCCGGGCTGATAACGCGGCTTTAATTCGGACTGGAGATTGTTTCAGATTTCAAAAACTTCAAAAATTGACTCTCGTGAGCTTCAAGACGTGTTATAATGTTGTTACTTCCTCCTCGTTCAAGTTCGAAATGCTCTGGTCCACCTCGTGATGTCATGAAGTGGTCGTCAGCCGATATTTTTATACCTTTTGTTCAGTAGAAATCGGCAATTCCAGGTGTGAAATCATCCAAATGATTCTAGTGAAGGTGTACGGAGTTTAAAAACACAGTGGAGCAGATTCTGTATTGACATCACAAGGTGGAGCGGAGGGTTTGAAATCTGTGTATCATTCGTTCGTTTGTTTTTCAAAATAAAAACGAAAATAAGAAAATGAAAACAACAACTACTTTCTTCGTTATTTGTCTCCAAAACGAAAAGGAAAAAAACAGATGATGATTAGTTTTTTCAGTTTTCAATTTTTTGTTTCAATGAAAAATGGAAAAAAAAAAAACAGATAACGGCATTTTCCAGTTAAACTGTGATGCTGAACTGAACCAGGTCTAAACCAGAACTAAACCAGGTCTAAACCAGAACTAAACCAAGACTAAACCAAGACTAAACCAGGTCTAAACCAGAACTAAACCAGGTCTAAACCAGGACTAAACCAGGACTAAACCAGGTCTAAACCAGGACTAAACCAGAACTAAACCAGGTCTAAACCAGGACTAAACCAGGTCTAAACCAGGACTAAACCAGGACTAAACCAGGTCTAAACCAGGTCTAAACCTAAAAGGTCTAAACCAGGACTAAACCAGGAACTAAACCAGGTCTAAACCAGAACTAAACCAGGTCTAAACCAGACTAAACCAGGACTAAACCAGGTCTAAACCAGACTAAACCAGGTCTAAACCAGGACTAAACCAGGACTAAAACCAGGTCTAAACCAGAACTAAACCAGGTCTAAACCAGGACTAAACCAGGTCTAAACCAGGACTAAACCAGGACTAAACCAGGTCTAAACCAGAACTAAACCAGGTCTAAACCAGAACTAAACCAGGACTAAACCAGGACTAAACCAGGAACTAAACCAGGTCTAAACCAGAACTAAACCAGGACTAAACCAGGTCTAAACCAGGACTAAACCAGGACTAAACCAGGTCTAAACCAGGTCTAAACCAGAACTAAATCAGGACTAAACCAGAACTAAACCAGAACTAAACCAGGACTAAACCAGGTCTAAACCAGAACTAAATCAGGACTAAACCAGGACTAAACCAGGTCTAAACCAGGACTAAACCAGGTCTAAACCAGGACTAAACCAGGTCTAAACCAGGACAAAAACCAGGACTAAATCAAAACTAAACCAGGACTACATCAGGACTTAACCAGGACTAAATCAGGACTAAAACCAGGACTAAACTAGGATTAAATCAGGACTAAATCAGGACTAAACCAGGACTAAATCAAGGACTAAACCAGGACAAAATCAGGACTTAACAAGGCTAAACCAGGACTGAACTGAAGTAGGACTAAACCAGGACCCAGGACTGAACCAGGACTAAACCAGGTCTAAACCAGAACTGAACCAGGACTGAACCAGGACTGAGTGTTGGGACGGGCCCAGAGGTGTGCCCGCATAGACCGTCAGGTGACTGCCGGCGAAAGGTCCGGCACAGAGCTGCACGGGGCTGAGCCGTCGCCCGATCGTGCTTTTTGGATGCCCTGCTCCACGAGCTCGGGGTTGTCCTTCTCTGTCTCAAATCAAGATTAGTTCAAGATTAGACCTGGTTTAGACCTGGTTTAGTCCTGTTTTAGTCCTGGTTCAGTCCGTATGCTGCGCAAAAGTTCAGCATCACAGTTTAAGTCAAGGAAATGGGAATTATCTGTTTTTTTCCATTTAAAAACAAAATCGAAAACTGAAAAAACGAATCGTTATCCTTTTTTTTTTTTTTTTCATTTTCGTTTTGGAGACAAATAATGAAGAAAATACGAACGAACGAATGATACACGCATTGTTTGAGAGTTTGAGAGAAGAACTCAGCCTAAATGTGCAGGTTTGTGTGTTAAACATGAATGAAACAAAACTTAACTCCAGGTCTGTTTGCGACGATTAAACAACATTATAACACTGATCAGAAAATAAAGTTATACCAGAATTTTACCCGAATTGTGCCTCCGTGTGTGTCTGACTCGTGTTCGCCCCCTGCAGGTGACGTGGAGATCGGTCTGATGGAGAGGAACGGCTCTCTGGAGGTGGAGGTGGTCCAAGCCCGAGGACTCACCATGAAACCTGGCTCCAAGTGTCCCCCAGGTGAGCAGCTCTGTGGCCTCGTGGTTTAAGTTTAACCTTTTTTACAGCAAATTTAAAGGTCCATTGTGGAACTTTTCTGGCGGATGGAGCCGTTCATTTGTCTGGAATGTTTCACAGTATAGTGTTAAACCTTTCTATCTTCACGGAGACCAAACCAGACCAAGTTACAGGTCAGAATGTTTGTTTTTCTAGGTATTTTTGAGCTTTAAAAAAACACTTGCAGTTGAATAAATGTAAGGTCAAGCTGTTTAATGTCACACTGTGGAACATTCCAGGCAGAGCAATGACATCTCCATAGGAAACAAGCAGATGAAAAAGTTACATAGTGCTGGTTTAATTCTGGTTTAGACCTGGTTTAGACCTGGTTTAGTCCTGGTTTAGTCCTGGTTTAGACCTGGTTTAGTCCTGGTTCAGCTCTGATTTAGACCTTGTTTAGTCCTGGTTTAGTCCTGGTTTAGACCTGGTTTAGTCCTGGTTCAGCTCTGATTTAGACCTAGTTCAGTCCTGGTTCAGTCCTGATTTAGTCTTGATTTTGTCCTGGTTTAGACCTGGTTTAGACCCGGTTCAGTCCTCAGTTCAGTCCTATTTCAGCTCTGGTTTAGTCCTAGTTTAGTCTTGGTTCAGCTCTGGTTTAGACCTGATTTAGACCTGGTTTAGTCCTGGTTTAGTCCTTGATTCAGTCCCGATTCAGTCCTCGATTCAGTCTTGGTTTAGACCTGGTTTAGACCTGGTTCAGTCCTGGTTTAGACCTGGTTTAGTCCTGGTTTAGTCCTGGTTTAGTCCTTGGTTCAGTCCCGATTCAGTCCTCGATTCAGTCTTGGTTTAGACCTGGTTTAGACCTGGTTTAATCCTGGTTTAGTCCTGGTTTAGTCCTGGTTTAGTCCTTGGTTCAGTCCCGATTCAGTCCTCGATTCAGTCTTGGTTTAGACCTGGTTTAGACCTGGTTTAGACCTGGTTCAGTCCTGGTTTAGTCCTTGGTTCAGTCCCGATTCAGTCCTCGATTCAGTCTTGGTTTAGACCTGGTTTAGACCTGGTTTAGTCCTGGTTTAGTCCTGGTTTAGTCCTGGTTTAGTCCTGGTTTAGTCCTTGGTTCAGTCCCGATTCAGTCCTCGATTCAGTCTTGGTTTAGACCTGGTTTTGTCCTGGTTCAGTCTTGATTTAGTCCTGGTTTAGCTCTGGTTTAGTCCTAGTTTAGTCCTGGTTCAGTCCATATACGGCACGGTTGAATAGGTCAAGCTGTTTAATGTCACACTGTGGAACATTCCAGGCAGAGCAATGACATCTCCATAGAAACAAGCAGATGAAAAAGTTACATAGTGCACCTTTTGAATATTTCTACCTCTATTATATCTATAATACCTCATTATATTGTGATACAGAGCTCAAAAGTTGTGTTCCAAGTCTGATTAAAAGTTCTGTGGCTCCTTCAGAACTATGTGGAACTATGTAAAGTTTGAACATCTTCAGGTTAACACAGAACATTTCCAGTTTTTACAATCCCTCAAAATGTTTACCACAAAATCACAGAGAAAAAAAGCGAATCAAAAGCGAATTACAGGTGTCAGCTTCCTGTTACATGCAGCTTTCTCCCGTCTCTATTGAACAAAAGGTAAAAGTCGAAAACTGTCGCTTCATGACATCACAAGGTGGAACAGAGCGTTTTGAGTTTTAGAAATGTAGACAGACTAATAATAAAGGATAACTTCCAAGTCCTAGTCCAACATCAGTCCTGGTTTGGTCCTGGTTTAGTCTTGGTTCAGTTCTGATTTAGACCTGGTTTGACATGGTTTAGTCCTGATTTAGACCTGGTTTAATCCTAGTTTAACCCTGGTTGTAGACCTGGTTCAGTCCTGGTTCAGTCCTTGGTTCAGTCCTGGTTCAGTCCTGGTTCAATCCTGGTTTAGTCCTGGTTCAGTATTGGTTTAGTCCTGGTTTAGACCTGGTTTAGTCTTGGTTCATTTCTGGTTTAGTCTTGGTTCAGTTCTGGTTTAGACCTGGTGTAGACATGGTTTAGTCCTGGTTTAGACCTGGTGTAGTCCTGGTTTAGTTCTGGTTTAGACCTGATTTAGTCCTGGTTGTAGACCTGGTTCAGTCCTGGTTCAGTCCTCGGTTCAGTCCTGGTTCAGCTCTGGTTTAGTCCTAGTTTAGTTCTGGTTTAGCTCTGGTTTAGACCTGGTTTCGTCCTGTTTTAGTCTTGGTCCAGTTCTGATTTAGACCTGGTTTAGACCTGGTGTAGTCCTGGTTTAGTCCTGGTTTAGACCTGGTTTAATCCTAGTTTAGTCCTGGTTTAGACCTGGTTTAATCCTGGTTGTAGACCTGGTTCAGTCCTGGTTCAGTCCTCGGTTCAGTCCTGGTTCAGCTCTGGTTTAGTCCTAGTTTAGTCCTGGTTCAGTCCTGGTTTAGTCCTGGTTTAGACCTGGTTTAGTCTTGGTTCATTTCTGGTTTAGACCTGGTGTAGACATGGTTTAGTCCTGGTTTAGACCTGGTTTATTCCTGGTTCAGCTCTGGTTTAGTCCAAGTTTAGTCCTGGTTCAGTCCTGGTTTAGACCTGGTTTAGACCTGGTGTAGTCCTGGTTTAGTTCTGGTTTAGACCTGATTTAGTCCTGGTTTAGACCCGGTTTAGTCCTGATTCAGTCCTCGGTTCAGTCCTGGTTCAGCTCTGGTTTAGTCCTAGTTTAGTTCTGGTTTAGCTCTGGTTTAGACCTGGTTTCGTCCTGTTTTAGTCTTGGTCCAGTTCTGATTTAGACCTGGTTTAGGCCTGGTGTAGTCCTGGTTTAGTCCTGGTTTAGTCCTGGTTTAGACCTGGTTTAGTCCTGGTTTAGACCTGATTTAGTCCTGGTTTAGACCTGGTTTAGCCCTGGTTTAGCCCTGGTTTAGACCTGTTTCAGTCCTCAGTTTAGTCCTGGTTTAAATCTGGTTCACTCCTGGTTCACTCCTGGTTCAGTCCCGGTTTAGTCCTGGTTCAGTTTGGCATCTTTGCACAGTTATTTTGTGGAGAATAACTTAAAGTGCTGCAATAATTGTGTAATCTTTTACATTTTAAACACATTAATATTGTAATGTCATGAATTACTTTGAAATGACAATAACAAGTCATAAATAACACATTACAGTTTTAACGTCACTTGCCCAACAGTGATGCGGAGAGTTAAAAATGTTGTTAAAATGTAGTTGATGCGTCTTATATTCAGGTGAAATTGTCTGTTTTTCATGTTTTTAAGTCTCCAAAACTCAGCTACAGCGTCTTTAATCAAGCCTGACGTTCTCTTCAGATGAAATATCGTGTATAACTTTTCCTCGGCCGTAACTTAACAACTATTTACGGTCGTGAGGCGGCGGGTACAAGATGCCTCGGTTAATTAGGCTGTTTGCGTGAGAGGCAGAGACAATAATTAAAGTCAGTTAATGATGTGAATATATGTGACGTGACGGAGCGGACGGCGTTGTGTAACTGCCCATTAACCGCGCTTATGTAACACGGACCAGCAAATCATCCGGACGCCTCACCCGCAGGAGCACGCGCAAACTGCATTACAGATACGAGAGGTGGGAGACGGTCGTTATGTGGGTGAACGGGCTCAGGGGGAAGCGGGGAGAAGGTGACGTGCTTTTGTGAACGGGGCCGTGGACGTTTCAAGTTCAACGCACAGACGGAGGTGACGGTAACAATAAGAAGTATTTACAGAGGCGTTTTGAAATGTTTACAAGGTTTATTGTGATTGAACAATACTAAAAATGGCGTAAAAGTAGTAAAAAGAGAATGCACGAAAAACAGATAAACAAGAAAATGTTCAGATTAATCAAAGGAATAATTAAAATGAGTTCAAACTATTAAAAAAACAAATAAAATAAAAGTAAAATAATAAATAAATAATAAAGTAAAGTAGAGTAAAGTAGAGTACAGTAAAAATCAGTGTTAAGAAGTAATTAAATTTAGAATCACAAGCTTAAAGGTTGTATAGAGGATTTTTTTAAGGGAAGAGAAATACAGCGACAGTTCTTTTACAAATGTTGTGCATGCGAGTTTTTAGACCCTTCGTCCGCTTCACTCGCGCAATCGCTGGAAGGAATCTCCAAGAATCACCTCAGTTTGTCTTCGCTCCTTTTCCCCTTCTCTTCTTCTTTCAGCGACCTCAAGAACCGACTTTCTTTTGCGGCGAACTGGTCGTGGATTCTCGTCCGCCGTCGCAACAAACTTTGTGAGGAAGTGACAGTTTGAAAAAGCCTCTAAGAACCGCTGCATAAACCACGTGATCCCTGCATCCCGACGAGTCAATTACACTAGAAACGTAGGGAGTTTGATTGATGACCTGACAGCCAATAGGTAAAGAGGCAGCCTCGTTTTCTATTGGCTGATGTTTATCTGGCCTCAACACGTACACAGTTGATAAATTTTCATTCTTTTTTTTTTTTTGGTCATCGTAATTACAAGGCTGCTGCGTCTCTGTAATGGTATTTTAAACTTTCATTGACAATTTGAAACAAAAAAAAAATCCTCCATACAACCTTTAATCTCCCAGTCTGAACAACAGTGTAGACCAGGGATTCCCAAAGACCAGGCTGTGGGATGTTTGGTACCGGCCCGCGAAAGCGCGAACCCCCCTCGTACGCCACACTGACTTTCCCTCCTGTACGCCGCGCAGACCATCCCTCCTCCCGTACGTTTCACAGGCCACACCTCTAAACCAGAACTAAAACCAGAACTAAACTAGAACTAAAACCAGGACTAAAACAGAACTGAAACAGGACTAAAACAGGTCAAAAACAGGTCAAAAACAGGTCAAAAACAGGTATAAAACAGGTCAAAAACAGGTCTAAAACAGGTCAAAAACAGGTCAAAAACAGGTCAAAAACAGGTCTAAAACAGGTCAAAAACAGGTCAAAAACAGGTCTAAAACAGTACTAAAACTGGTCTAAAACAGGTCTAAAATCGGACTAAAAAAGGATTTAGCCAGGACTTAACTTAACAGGACTTCATCTGAAATATTGTTGGATATAAAACTGGTCCATGGCACAAAAAAGGTTGGGGACCACTGCTGTAGACTATTTCTATTCTAAGAAACATTTGGCAATATAACTTTGTTCACGAGTAAAGTAACTAAAAGTAAAAGTTGTTATGTTTTGGGGATATCAACATATGTTACATTTTTCGCGCTGTAACTAGTAATGTATAATGTATTATAATTTCATTTGCCCAACACTGGATTGAAGATTCTGTGCCTACAGCCACTCAGCCACTGTCCCTATAATCACAGTGCACAGTCGTCCAGTGTTAGTTTAGTCATGTTTGAGCCAAAGTTCTTCAGTTTCCCTCACGTGTCTGTACCAGGATGGTTTAGGCCACAGGTGTCAAACATAAGGCCCGGGGGCCAGATCCGGCCCTCCAAGACCTTTAATGTGGCCCTTGGGTGATTTTCTACTAAAATATTTTAATTATATTTTCTATTAAAATATTGTTAATTTTCTGTGGTGTTTATCACAGCAGCGTCTCCAGTGTCTCTGTACATGGCCCCTCCCACCAGAGCAGCACAAATGAAGACTTGTCTCTTTCCAAACGCTCTTAAAGGACGATCGTTTTGACTGTTGACCGTGACACCCTCATCAGAAAAATGTCAAAAATGAGAAAAGTGGAGCCGAGTGCAGAAGAAAAACAGACTTATTCCTATTTGCATACAAGTTAATGTTAAAACATTGTGTTGAAATTGAATTTTTCTTAAAATTTCAGGTTGTTCATAATATTATAATAAGAAAGAGTTCATCAATTAAAAAAGATTTCTGTAATAGATTTGCGTTTCTCTTTACAAATATTTGAACTTATTGTTATTTTTTTGGGGTTTATATGCCATGAGTTTTCTGATCCTGGCCCCTTTGGGATCAAAGTAGATTAGATACGGCCCCTGGACCAAAATAAGTTTGACACCCCTGGTTTAGGCGTTGGACTTAAAAACCAATGGACAGAAGTCCTCATGGGTCAAACCACACTCCTCTTGATAAACTGTTGTATCAAGATTAACAAATGCAGTTTCTTCTATTACAGATGGAGTTACTCAAGGTTACTCCCTTAGCAACTACTTTCACGTAATATGTTCTTTGCAGCAATCAGTCACCAGGATGGGCAAGTAGTTACGGCGTTGGACTAAAGTTCCAATAGACACTAGTCCTCATTGTTTCAAACCCTCTCTCCTGGTAAACTGCTACATCAAGATAAACAAATGCATTTTCTTGTACCACAGATGGAGTTACTTAAGATTACTTCCTTAGCAATTACTTACACATAATATGTTTCCTGCAGCCATCAGTCACCAGGATGGGCGAGTGGTTAAGTCATTGTATTTATGATCCAATAGACCGTAGCCCTCGTTGGTTCGAACTACAGACTATATATAAATGGACATACGTAGCTAACATGTTCATTGGGGTGCTTCTGGCTCCTTCAACTCTTTTTCCAATTGACTTTACATTGGAAAAATGTTTAAGTGTTCATATTAACCCACTCTACATGATACTGGTGTTTTTATTTAGCTATAAATGTATGTTTATTTAACTATATTTATGCTATTTAGCTTTGTAAGTAAATAAATTCCCATTAAGGATCTGGCTCCAAATTCACTCCTATAACTGCCGGCCTCGGTGAGCTTCATTTGGCTGGAGCCGAGAGCTATGGATGACCTCACACTCCCTTAATCTTTATACAGTCTATGGTTCAAACTCCACTCTTGGTAGATCATTTAAATTACATTTTACTCAGCTGTTGTCGGCCATCGGCGCTGACAATTTAAGCTCTAAAAAGAATACATTTTGATTCGTTAATCGCTACGGAAACTGCGCTAACTCTCATCCTCCCTCATCCAACGCCCGTGGACACTTGTACTGAGTTGCGGTTCTTGTTTGTTTTGATTCCAGCGGCGTACATAAAGGTCTACCTGCTGGAGAACGGACTCTGCGTGGCCAAGAAGAAGACCAAGAGCGTGAGGAAGAGCCTGGACCCTCTGTACAACCAGCTGCTCGTCTTCAGTCAGAGCCCCCAAGGCAAAGTCATGCAGGTGAGTCCCTCAAACCAACGCCTGACCTACACTACACACAGACGTACAGGTATATTTATAGTCATTTTTTATAGTGTGGGTAATATTATGTGTTGGTCATGCTAATTTACCTAATATTATGGACTTTGGAATGACAACAGGGTGGAAAACACGTATGACTATCTATAGGTCTATATAACATGTTTTTTCTGTACTTGGAGTGCCATAAAGAACATGTTTTTCTGGACTTTGAGATGCCACGAAGCAGAAAAACTGACATATGTGGACCCCGTGGCATGTTCCCACCCATGATAAGGTGTACTGGGTCAGCAGTATTGTTCATTTTCTTGCTGTATATGCTAAATCAACAAGTTAATGTTTTGTCAAGATGTAGTATAAAGCTACCCCTGAGTTTGAGTTGGTCAGAGACGTCGTTCCGGGGTGGCAGTTGTACTTGGTAATCAACTTGAATCCCTCTCAATGGAAAATGACGAAATAAAGTGGCCTGTTCTCTCGGATTCTCCATCTCCTGTGCTTCTTTTTAGGACACGCATTGAACCTTCCGAAAAAACCCACAGTAGCTTTAGATTCATTTTCTTTTTAGAGTAATTTTCTAATAATTGTGCTTCTCAAACACCGGACTTTAACTACTTCTTGAGACTTATTTGACAGTGTAACGGTACTTTTATTCGAATAATAGTTTGGTTTCTCTTCCCAATGTGAGTAAGGCTACGTTCAGACTGCAGGGCTTATTACTCAATTTGGAATATTTTGTGAAATCCAATTTTTTTGCGACTTGTATGTGATCTCCAACGTGAACTATAGACGCCCAAAAAGTGTCCCACATGTGCACTGGTGGACATGACGATGGACGTGAGCATTGAGCACCTGGAGATTTTAAAGTTGCTGTTGTACCAAAGCCAGAACATGAACAACTTATTTGTTTTAAGGAGGAGTTTGAGGAGGAGAAAGACGAGATTTTTGGCTGTGGCGTTAGCGCCCGTAGAAAGGAACGTGCGGGTGCAGAGTCGCAGCCGAGAGCGGTGGGATTGCGATGTGCTTCGATGTTTCACTGACACAGAGTTCAGACACAGTTTTCGTATGACAAGAAGAACGTTTGTGTACATTTGTGACGTGTAGGTGGGATGAATGTGACCTGGCCGTTCGGACTGAAGTCGCACGTCAAAAGATCGGATATGTGTCTGTTTTAGGAGCACGTATCCAAGTGGTCTGGGTCGCGTTTGAAAAAAATCGGAGCTGTGTCATTCAGACTGTCATTAAAAGATCAGATACAGGAGAATACGGGTGAATAAATCGGATTTGGGTCACTTCAGGCTGCAGTCTGAATGTAGCCCAAGTCTACAAGTGACAAAAGCTTTACAAAGTTGAATAAAAATGAATTCTGCTTTAAAAAGACCATGTAAACATTTAATCCCTAATGAAAATTATTATTCAAAATTAATTCCGAAGTAAGTGGGTGGTTTATTCCGATTTTAAAGCCGAATTAATGTATTTCTTGTTCATGTAAACGTTTATTCTTCTTAAAAATAATTCCGGTTGTTCAGCGCATGCTCGTTGGATCGCCCCTTCTGACGCGATGACGCACTGCAAGAGCAAATGTTGGTCACAATTTTTTAAATAAGTGAGCTGAAAGAACTACAAATAATGAAAGAGGTTATGTATGTAGATGGATACATATGCATTTATGTATATATGTGTGTGTTTAGGTATGACGTATAGGTATAATACGTATTGTTTGGTTGGGGGGTGGGAAGGACAAAGACAACTTATTATTTTTGCTTTAATGATAATATTCTCCGACACTCTTCCCTTCCCTTCTCCTCCTCAGCCGACAGACGTAAAGCGTGATAAGAAAATTCTCCAGCTGCTGCTTCTTTATCATTGGAACGACTCTGAAAAAAGTTCGTATCGTGTTTGTGTCCGTGGCGTAACGACAAACCGAGATGACAAAAAAGCCAGTAGCAGCTGAAGTGTGTGTTTTCTTCCGGTCGTTGTAAATATGTTTGTGTCTCTGTCCAATCAGAACCCTTCCCCACCCCAAGAAGTCGAGCGGAATTAAATAAAGACGATTTAATGTGTTTTCCATGTTAACCTCAATTCGGAATTATTACTTCCATGTAAAAACTCAAAAGAGAATATTTTAATTTAATTTCTATTTAATTCAGAACAATTAATTCGGAATAAAAAAACATCATGTAAACCTTTGCCACTATGAAATTATTTGAACATTTGTGTTTCTTGCACGACAAATTCAAATAGGATTTAGTTTGTCTCACGTCTCAAATATCAGATTTTGAGCATTATTTAAAGGTGCACTGTGTAACTTTTCTGGCGGAGGGTCCGTTACATGCTCGTTTCTATGGATATGCCATTGCTCTGCCTGGAATGTTCCACAGTATGACTTTAAAACAGCTCTACCTTACGTTTATTCAATTACAAGTGGTTTTACTGCTCAGAAATAACTAGAAAAACAGACATTCTGCCTGAGAATGGGGTCGCCTCTCCACAGATCTGACCCGTAACATGCTCTGGTTTGGTCTCCACGAAGATAGAATGGTTTAATGCCACACTGTGAAACATTACAGACAAAGCAATAGCATCTCCAAGAAGAAAGTAATGACATATCCATAGAAACGAGCAAGTGGCAAACCAAAAAAAAAAACAAAACAAAAAGTGACACGGTGCAGCTTTAAATTGAGGTCCGTTTTGACAGCGTTGTGTCTTTGCCCACAGACAGAGCTTGGGCGAGTTGTGACAGGAGACTGAGCAGGAGCAGTGGAAAAGTGCATAGACTGAGTTTAATTACTGTGATCTGAAAATAGAAGCATCACGTGGAGCTGGGCTTTGGCTCCGGTACCAACAGGAAACTGGCAAAACGCACGCACACGAATTCAGTTTCTGTTTTCTATTGTTAGTAAACTGATGAAGACTTAACAAAACGGGAAGCAAAACCAAAAAGTGGGGCCAGTATTTGATTAAGCATTGATTAAACTAGGACAGAACCAGAGTGAAGCTGTACGAGGTCTAAACTGGATTTGGACTAGAGCCAAAGTAGGACAAAACCCAAATTAAACCAAAAATAAAACTGTCCAGTGGATCTTAAGTCCAGCTACTTAACCAATCGGCGATCCTGGTACATGAAAAGCCTTAAAATATTAATAAAAAAACAAGTTAAACATCCATTTTATGCATGATTCTTCGGTCTGGGTCTGATGCATGGAAAAATTTTGATTTTTTTTTTGCCAAATTTCACCCAGATTAAACCAAAAATTAAACTGGTCTAAAACTAAATTAGACCGAAACTAAACCAGGACTAAACCAAGACTGAACTCATGTTCAACTGTACCAGCTCTAACCTTAAAGTTGCACTATGTAACTTTTTGGCTGGGGGATCCATCGCCTGCTTGTTTCCATGGAAATGTCATTTCTCTCAATGCCTAGAATGATCCACAGTTTGACATTACAAACAGTGTTGGGAAGGTCACTTTTAAAATGTATTCCCTTACAGATTACATATCCCAAAATGTAGCTTGTAACGGAATCCATTAAGTTACTTAAAGTGAGTAACGTAATCTGAATACATTGGATTACTTGATTGTCGTGCTTTTTAAAACGACATGAATGTAGTAACCACATCCTGCAAATTCTTGTTTGTTTTCTTCAGATTGTCTGTTGAGCCAAAGTCTCCATGAACAGACTTTTGTTTGTTGTAGAGACTAGGATATTTTAACATAAGATGTTTTATCTGCTAAAAGACAATAAAAAGCCCAGACTTTACTTAACCAAATTAAAAATATTATTGATAGAGAAATGATTTATATATGAGATCACTGCTGCCTTCAATTGCATCCACCTGGTTTAGTCCTGGTTTAGTCCTGGTTTTAGACCTGGTTTAGTCCTGGTTTAGTCCTGGTTTTAGACCTGGTTTTGTCCTGGTTTAGTCCTGGTTTAGTCCTGGTTTTAGACCTGGTTTTATTATTATTATTTTTTAACCAATCATTGCCCTCTTTATTTACAGCACAGCATTCTCTTTTAGTGACATGGTTCAATCCTTAAAGTGTTATTCTTGCAATAAGATCATTTTCCATCATAATTTATTGTTATGACATAATTCTACCAGGAGTGGGGTTCGAACCCACGAGGATCACTTTCCATTGGATCTTAAGTCCAACGCCTTAACCACTCGGCCATCCTGGTACATGAAAAGCCTTAAAATAATTCATGAACCAAGTTAAAACATCAATTTTATGCACATTTCTTCGGTCCAAAGAAATTTATCAGAATTTTACAAAAAGTCTATAATGATTGTGAATTTTTTTTGCCAAATTTCACAGAGCCCATTGAGGAAAATTACTTATAAAACTCTAAGTCTATACAAAGTCTATGTGGACTAGAGATGCGCGCATGGGCTATTTTTTCATCCTGGTTTAGTCCTGGTTTTAGACCTGGTTTAGTCCTGGTTTTAGACCTGGTTTAGTCCTGGTTTTAGACCTGGTTTAGTCCTAGTTTAGTCCTAGTTTAGTCCTGGTTTAGTCCTAGTTTAGTCCTGGTTTAGTCCTGGTTTTAGACCTGGTTTAGTCCTAGTTTAGTCCTAGTTTAGTCCTGGTTTAGTCCTAGTTTAGTCCTGGTTTAGTCCTGGTTTTAGACCTGGTTTAGTCCTAGTTTAGTCCTGGTTTAGTCTTAGTTTAGTCCTGGTTTAGCCCAAAATGTGAAAACAGGAACATACCACCATATAATCCATTTATTTCAACAAAGTAACTGTAATCCAATTACCACTCACTGAAACAGTAACTGTAACTGAATACAGTTACTCATAATTTGTACTCTGATTACTGCTGGTACATGTAATTCTGTTACTCCCCAACACTGCTTACAAATATTCAATTACAGGTGGTTTTATAGCTCAAAAATACCTCTAAAAACAGACATTCTGATTGCGAGCAGGGTTTGAATTTGACAGACCCTCCACCAGAAAAGTTGCTCAATGCACCTTTCAATAA